ACATTGACATAACATTTCATTGACTTTCAATAGAAGCATTGCATAAAAAAAATAAGCAGGAACATGTTTTGTAGCAATTTCTCCAAATCGTACTTCTCCCTTGCGGCTTGAAAACCTTCCAGCACCTCTAACACATCACATTCAGGGTGTAAGCTCCATCTCACCTGCTGCCAAAGCACCATCCCAGAGCTAAACCCCTGTCATGCCACAAAAACTTGATACTCATTTGCAGCCCCAGTTGCAAATAAAAAGACACCGGTTCCAATGTTGGTGGTTGTACAAGTGACAGCATCATCATCTGAATGTGACCTAAGGGGCCCAACAAGCTATATGAGAAATATGAGTATATGAGATTGAGGAGGAAACTGTCAGTTTACAGTGTGCAGTTGTCAATAGTAATTTTGAATCACTTTGATATATATATATATCAGCGTTAAAAATGACAGAGTTTCATATATTTGTGAAAATGACAGTCAACAAAAAAATTGCGTCTTTCCAAGTGATTTTCGCAGAGTTTTACCTCCCTATGAACTCAAAGTAAAAACTTATTTAATCAACTTGAATTTTAATCAAATCAATTAGTTTCACAAGCAAAGTACTTAAAAATCCTCCGCTTGTCCCATCAGCAGTCTCCTGCTATGCTGTCAGGGGGTAAATGCAACAACTCTCCAGACCAGGGGTCTGCAACCTTTATGATCAAAAGAACCATTTCTGCCCCTTCGTTCACTAAATTAAACGTATCCAGAGCCTCAAAAATCTGCTACAATTGCCACATATCAACTGGTGGCCCATGGGCCCTTTTAAATTTATTAGAGGGGGCTTTTCTTGCCAGTAGGCATGAACTTATAAAACTAAAAACATCCAATGATTGTTAATATTAATTGATATTTTACATTTTGAGACAAAAAAAAAGACTGGATTCCATCCATCCATCCATCCATCCATCCATCCATCTATCCATTATCTTTACTCGCTTCTTTCTGGGTTGCAGGGGGACACTGGTGCTCATGTCCAGGTCACAATTATTTAAATGATGTCATTATACTGCTTGTTGCAAATAACTGGGACCACTGACAAAGGGTTATGGGTAACAAGTGTCTGGTGGCTGTTTTACCTACAGACCAAAGCACCATCCAGCCTAAAATCTTAATGTGCAAAGACAATGCTAAGCAGCTGGGCTGATATTATCCATTTTATTACTCCCTATGGCCACGTTATGGTCAAAAATAAATATCCTAAACCACAATTTTACCTGATATATATATATATATATATATATATCTGTCTGTATCTATCTCATCAGCTATCTCTTGTAAATGAGTCCTTGAGGCTCAATGGGATTACCTGTCTAAATAAAGGTTGAATGAATCTATATCTATATCTATCTATATCTATCTATCGATCGATATATCGATCGATAGATAGTTTACCTAAAACTGTTTACTTCACATTTGGCCTTAGTGTACCACGGTACATTACAAGGACAGATAAGTTTAGGAATAAGTAGTTTGGCATTTAAAAACGCAAAAACAATAATTACTGATATGAAAAAAATCAAAGTCTGAGAACAACAGGGCACTTGACTCTACCAAGAAAGAAGGTTTAGTGCCCCAAAAGACAAACGAGAAGGATGAAGGCAGAAGAAAAAGTGTGAAGAGATGAAAACAGCCCAGTGGAAACCATGATGTCATGATTAGTGAGGTGCGACCATCCTGCAGTCACATTGGCACCACAAGGACGCCAAAGGATAGCACACACACAGACAGGCACACTAGCATTTACAAAATGCCTGCCTCTAACTGATCACAGCTGCTGCAAGAAACAATGCAGCCATTGTCAATCATAGCCGTTTTTTAGTGCATGCAAATGCACACATTGAAAGCACATGCACACAGATCAGTGCTAAAATATGTTGATGCTTCTTGCTCATGTAAAGCTAAGTTGACTGATAATTACTTAAAGCTGTAGTATTTGGCAACAATTAGTTCTACACTTAATTGTGTTTCTTTTTTGCTTTCCATCTAGCATTACCCTTTCCAGAATGACAACACTGATGGATACAATCAATATCAGTAAAATACAAGGCTGTCACAAACTGCTTAAATGATGACAGTTGAAATCAAAATGGAAAACAATACTGCATATTTCTGTCATGATGAATAAAACATTTGTATCAAACTCTTTGTGACGGATTAAATAAAGGACTGAACAAAGCCTCAGTGTATTCTTTCCATTCTATCAATAGCAAAAAAAAAAAAAAGGCACACATGGTGATTAAAACCAAAACTGGCACATTTGAATAGGGTTATTTCTCAGAGTCGTGGGTCTCTTGAGAGGAAGAAAAACAAGCCATCTGAAATGGAGTACAAATTGCAAAGTAACAGACTAGCGTTCTTACAAGAAAAACAACATCTCATTTAATAATAAAAAAAATTATGGATGGAGGCATGTAAAATGGGAGGCAGTGACAAAAGATAAGCCTTGTAAGTGTTGGTAAAACTATCAAATGATTTAAAGGCAACTAAGGCTTTATATCAACCAGACATTAGGCATATAGGAAAACCTTTAGAACATAGATCATATTGTGAACCACTGATGAACAACAAAATTGTTTAATTTAGGATTTGCAAACTTGATAGGCTGCTAACAGAACCCCTCTGCTAATCTGCTTACACGGACTCATGTTCGTGCTGCTGTTGTTTTGGCACATTGTTTTTGTACTATTAGAGCTTAGCGTATTCTTAGTCTGTGTATTCTTAGTTTAGTGAATGTAGTATATTCTTAGTTCATGACTCGGATCTTACTAATGCTAATCTTTACAATTTGTATTTTGTTGGATGTAACTGGGACCCTGGGTACATAGTTTTGTCCCACCTCGTGTACCACGTGTGGTGTGTATGACAAATAAATCTCTCTGACTCTCGGACTCTGACTAATAGACCATGATGCTAACAGTTACAGTGTTGTTATAGCACTATTTTTTATTTCTTTTTATTGCTGTATAATGTCTGTACTATATGTTGTCTGTCTAAAACAGGTCTTCTGTGAGGTACTTTGTACTGATTCATCCTACTATAACCGTTGTGTTCTACCATGTTGTTTTGTTAGAAATATTTTATCTAGATCAGGGGTGTTAAACTCACTTACAAAAGGGGGTCAACATTAAAAAAAAACTTTTTCAAACTAAGGGCCAATTTCAGAATCTACATTAAGTTAGATACCCAGCATCTTTTCTTGGTTGCAGGTTCTTGAACAAAATTTGATTGGTCTCATGTGATGTTCTCTGTTGCACTTTTGACATCGTAACCAAAGATTACTGAAAAAAAAATCAAGAGATAAAAGTATTTTACATTTAACATATCTTGGGGGGCAGAGAAGATGTCAATGAGGGCCACATTTGGCCCCGGGGCCTTGAATTTGACATTTGACTGTGACCCTGGGTTTGTGATCTGCTCAGAGACGGATGGGAATAGATTATGACCCGGTTCTGACTGGTTTAAAGAGGGCGAGCAACTCTAAAAAAAAGTCTCCCAGGGATTCAATATCCGTCAAGGAATAGATTTTTATTTATTTGTCATTTCTTTATTGGCTCGCTACGCCACGCAGAAAGGCTTTTGTACACCGTATCATTTTTCCTGACACGTCTGCTCACATAAGATCCAATGAGATCACACTTAGTCCGCCCTCCTTATCCACTTGATAGGCTTTGCTCCCGAAAGAAGGCGGAGCCTAGGCCCAATACAGTTGTAAGGCAACGTGTCGTCCAGCCCCTCTGGTCTTTGAGTGAGCATTGAATTGTATCGGAGAGGCCAGTGTTGTAAACTGTAACCTTTTCCTGCCTTCATTTAATATAACTGGTAAAACGAATTCTGTCTGAGATGAGATCCGAGACCCCGACAGCTAGCAACAGTTTACTATATTTATTTTGGACCTTGTGGATGTATTTCTTTTTCACTTTTGGTGCTTTGTTTTGTACTTTGTTGCATGCTTTGACATTTCAGCTTCTTTTTTTTTTTTTGGCGAGTCAAGACGGTTCTTCTCGTCCTGAGCATTTCATTGCGTTGTTGACCTTGTGTTGAACTGCATAAGACAAATAAACAATAAACTATGCCACACTTTTTTATTAATAACAGTATGATACTACATGGCCTGGCATATCCTGCGAGAGTTCTATTATGAAAAATGACGTTGGCCTGAAAAGTTGGGTTAACGCTGCTCTTCAAACTGAAAGGTGGGAAACGCAGGTCACGGACTACTGGTGCTCCTTACAACAGCTCGCTTATTAAGACAGCGAACAGAAAGAGAGACGGTGGAGCGGAAACCAAACTGACCCTCTATCTGGAAAAACACGCTGAGCCAACAGGCACAACAGGCAACATGAGCAAAACAAGCTGTTTCGCAATTACAGCAAAGAAAAATAAAGTGAAAAAGGATAAGACAAATCAGCGTGCAGCTTCTGAAGCCGTATATGTGTGGAGTGAAGGGAAATGAAGGGGAAAGTGAAGCCGTAATCATTATAGGTGCAATATGTTGCTCTGTAATGAATGCAATTTCATTTTTGTCACAGTCTGTGTCAGCAAGCTATGAAGTCCTAGCGTCATGCCAAAAAAGCACCTGCTGTAGTAATGTGAAAAAGATAGCGAGGGAAAGTCTTTGTATTTTCCATTATTTTGAAGATGAAAAAGCTGCTGTAGAGATTGAGCTGCCCGGCAATTTCGGCACCCCTCACAGGAACACGCTCATTAATACAAGAAGCTGGAATGAGTTGAAATCTCAAACTACTTTTTGGCTAACAAACAAGAGAATCACCTGAGTTCATTCTTCATTTTCTCTACAATGAAATAATAATTTAAAAAAAAAAACAGACCCGGGCGCAAATTCACTCAAGTCCTCTCTTTGTATCTCCCTGGTCATCCAATTCAATCAGCTTGCTAAGAGAGACAGATGAGATCACAGTTTTGACCTCTACTTGTGATCAGTCATCTCGAAGAACCACGTACACACGCTTCAAGATAAGGGGGTCTGCTTGAGAAAGTGACATCATCATCAGCCACGATGTCACAGGGGTCAAGGCTGGCTGAAACCAGTCTCATCGCGTTGGAGATTATCCCGACGAAGGGGTTATTACACACCTTATGAGGAATTGCGAAGACAAGGGTGACAACAGATAGATCCCCAGCTAGCTCATCCCTCCCTCCACCCACACTCAATCTGGACTGATGGCGTAGCCCATTACCGATAGATGAATGAAGCAGATTATGGGATGCTCCATTAGTGTCACTTCATATACGTGAACGGGCTTTGTGTGAGGGACAGCATTGGGCGGTGGAATTAAAACACATTTTGAAAGATCTGCCGTTTGTTACCGGTTGTAATTGTGATAGTATGAAGCCTAAACCATCTCTGAAGCACAGTTTTTATGTTTTATATGATAATTTTGAAACCTAATTTTCAATACCTAAAGATATTTAAACATAAATGTTGTAGAACAATCTAAACTGAGTTCGAAAAAAAATGTATCAATATTATACCTTGATTAGGACCCAAACGTGTAGATGGAATGTACCTGAAACAACAGTGGAGCAAACTTGTCAATTAGATTTTGCCTAAAATAAGAATATATTAAATCAGCATATTTTATTTTAGGTCGGTATTTGATTTCACATTTCTGCAATACACCATTCAAAAGTGAAACTAATGAACAAACACAAATAAAGCACAATAACACAAGTGTTCAGCCATGACAATCAATCTCCACTATGAGACTGTGCTTTAATTCCCAGTAGGGGTTTGGGCTAATTGCTTCGGCATGTGAAAGTGGCCATTCTGGCAATGTTAACATATCAAGGTTAATCAGTTGTGTTTTCTCGTTCACACTTATTTAGCATTTCAGTCTACTACGATTTGATAAAATACATTTAAAGTACAATTGTGGCTAATGGGAAGGTTGTCTTTTTTATTTTTTTATTTTTTGCTGATATTTAGTCAAAATATTCACGATATTTTCATTTGGTGCCATCGTTAAGGTCAATAAAATCCTTATGTCATTGTGAATTATGCTCTAGGCTGTCTGCATTAAATCCCATTTAAGTCATCAAGATATTTCACTAAAAGCCAAGATATATATATTTTTTATTCTTCCATAGTAATTTAATTTCCAACAGCTTGTGTACTACAGTAAATACTTTTGAAACTGTGAAATAGAAACTTAAGAATTGTAAATATACAAATAAGGCCAGCTTGATTTAGGATGTAAACATGCAGTGGGTGGACTTCATTATCTGCTGGACTGCTTCTCAATGTCACTGTGATGGAAATATATGTATTGATCTGCTTCCTGACACATTCAATATTATTTAACCACATTAATAACCTTTATAAGTCTTTATTACGACAAGGTCGCTGTAAATGACGTTACAATGTTATGTAATTTTATAATGCTTTGGTATCACAGTTTGTGAGGTGATGGGGGCAGCTGAATAGACATTATCACATCCCTCCATAAGAAACCTTGAAAATGTTTTCCTTTATTTAGGACTGACAGCTGCCTGGGTTCAGTTCTGAAAACCACTAGGACAAGACAAAGGGGAGTAGCAGGTCTTGATGAGTTTTTTTTTATTCTACGGGTCAGAGCCTCAGACAGGACATGGCATTGATATGTTCTGTAATGGGCTCAGTTGGCAGAGTTGTTGCCTCTCAGTGAGAAGGTCACTGGTTCAAACCCAGCGTGGGACCTGTCTGGGTGGAGTTTGCATGTTCTCTCCGTGCATGCACGGGCTTTCCTTAGGTACTCCGGTTTCCTTCCACAGACCAAAAACATGCATGTTAGGCTGATTGGTAACTCTAAATTGTCCCTAGGTTTGAGTGAGAGAAAGAATGGTTGTTTGTCTTTATGTGTCCCTGTGATGGACTTGCAACCTGTCCAGGATGTCCCCCACCTCTCGTACAGTGACTGCTGGACACGGACACCAGTGACCCCCGCAACCCAAAAAGAAAGAAGTGGGCAAAGATAATGAATGGATGGACATTCTGTACGTGTAATGCTTTGACGTGAATCTGACTGTTCTCCAAAGCGTTGTAATAAATTTGATCAAACTACACCTGATCATTTATGAAATAGTCTGTTTTTAATGACAATCACCCTAAAATATACCCACATGCATGGACTAACTCACAAAAGTGCACACAGACACCATACATGTACCAGATGATGCTGGTGCAGACATAATACTCTGGAGACACGGACCATGACTCCCTAATGTCTGCATGCTTTTATTACAAGCAGTCTGTCCACACCTATGTTGACCTGAGGATATACTGGTGTGTCAGGAAAGGTATTTCTTATTCTTCTTTCTTGTCTCCTCATCCTATTCCCCAGCTCAAAGTATTATTTACCCCCGTGGACCCAGTGGGAAGGTGATTGACCTCTGTTGAAATAATGTCAGTCATTTCCACCTCATCTGGTGGCTAATGGGGCCTACAGGACTGGCTGATGTAGAAATATAGAAATATTTTAAGGGTCACAAAGTACTTTCTATGACCAGTTGTGTTCAAGAAACTACACATAATGAACGTTAGTCTTAAATGCATTTCTGAATTTATTTACATCTACACGTCAAAATCGTATTGTCAATGATGTGTAAGGTAAACTGATTGCTGTCTATTATAGTTCAAGTGCATACATTTACTTTTATTGTACACTGAATTTAATTTTTGGTTTAAGTGGGTTTAATTTTTGACATGAGTCCAGTTCTGTCAATGGGTGAAGCTTTAAATGGATTGTGGGAAATGAAGTTTGCAAACCGGCACTCACTCCTTTTAGCCTGCAGTGACCTCTGATCGATAGAGAACTGGCAGAGTTTTAGACCTTAACACAGCAGTTATAACACTGCTGGAATCTACCAACACAATTCTCACTTATCCACTTTTCCTCTGCTTAACAAGTTTTATTTAATTATTTATTAGTTTTTCCATTTCTCTTTCTTTCAACACTGTACTTTTTCTCTCTCTTGCCAGACCTGCTTTGTCACATGACCTCCAGCACCAGCATCATGCTTTTTCTCTCCTCGCTCTTGGCTTCACTGCTCTAACTTACTTCCTCTGTCTTATCCATCAAGTCTGCTTTTAATCCGTCCCACTTACTTTTCTCTCCACCTTGTTCACCTTTATTCCTCGCCCCTGCTTTGCACTGCTGAGTGACGGTACAGTCAACGTCTAGACTCTACAAGTGGACACTAAGCACCAAAAGCACCAACCAAAGAAGAAGCAGCGTTTGTGTGTAGGGTTGAGCCATAACACAGTAATAGTTGGTAATTAAATGAATTGGTGTTAAAGACTCAAGTGCTGGACTTAAAATACAGGAAGCAGATTGCTGAAACAAAGAGTATGTTCCCACAACAAGGAAATCCAGAGACATGACCTAAGCAAGCACGAGTTTACAGGTGAGTGAGTGTACTAAACAGATGCAAGTGTAATAATCACCAAATCCAAACCAGGTGAGTATGGAAATACAAATACAAGACTACTGGCCTTTAATGCAATTATATGCATTGCTCACACCATGAACAATGTAACCTATTCTCACATTAACATGTTCCTTTTTGAAACTTATCAAATGTCCTAAAATATATTTAATGTCATCTCCTTTGAATTAATTTAGCCAAATATATCATAACCATAACAAATTATTTTCTTATGACCACATTTTTGTGGCCTTATGAAGGACTGGAAACCTGTCTAAGGTGTACCCAGTCTCTTGCCCAGTGACCACTGGACGTAGGCAGCAGCTTCCTTCAACAATACAAGGATCAAAGATGATTGCCTGAGTGTTAGACAAATGGAGGGGTTGATAGACGGATGGACTTTCTCAATAGTGCACCAACCAGTAGAGTGATAGCTGAAGAGAAGAAGGCAGCACAAACAAATCAAGGAAACAAATGTTTGTTTGTCATAAGTACACTGATATTTCTTGTTCAGCACTGTACAAAGGTTAGCAAGCTTGCTACTAAATATATTCAAAGGTTTCAAAATGGTCTCAAAATGCATGTTTATGGATAGCAGTTCTAAAAAAACAAACACATACAGAGGTAGAATTTAGGGAGAGTTTATAGACATCAAAAATGACACACAATGTTGTTGTTGTTTTTATTTTTGTCATTTACAAAAAGTGTTCGACTGAATTCAAAAATTTATATCACCTAGAAAGTCACAATGTGCTGGTGAAGGAAGACAGTTGAGATGTTGAGCTGAATCCGAGTTAGGGGTAATGATATTGAAAGTTTGGCCGGCTGTGGTTGAGTGGTTAGAGCAATCATCCTACAATGCAAGAGTTGGGGGTTCAAATCCACCAGCAGTCACATGCCGAAGTGTCCCTGGGCAAGACACTGAACCCCTCGTTGCCTCCGATGTGTGTCCCATCAGTGCATGAATGTGATAAAGCTCTGACTAGTCTCTTAAGAATGATTTGTTCAATTAGCTCTGTATAGATCTAGTAGAGTGCTGTATGAACGGCTAAATGAGGACATACTGTGGTGTAAAGCACGTTGAGTGATTTGATAAGATAGAAAGGTGCAATATAAGTACAGTCCAAAAAAAAAGTTCAGAGTAAATAAAATAAAATCAGTACAAAACATTAGTTACTTGCATCCACAAAATATACACATGTACTGTTACCCGTTTAGCAGTGCTGCATTAGAAATTAGGGTATTAAGTGTGAGCAAAGGGAATTATTCATGGCTTAATTTCAGTGTTCAGTTTCATTTCATTCATAATGAAATGGCTGTTAGAAGGTCCTGCCAAGAAGTGTTATTGTTTTTGAGAACCTTGGCTTGTGAAGAGCAATCTATTGCCAAGAAACCCAAACCAAAAAAGTATTCTCTACCAACGACAGTAAAACACTGTATTTATATAACATCGTGAAGCCCAATTAGTAAAATATCCAATATATGTTTTTAGAATAGAAAGTTGGAGTTTTTGCTAGTCAGGGTGTCAGAATGAGTGCTGACGTTAATTATTAGAATATTTCACAACAATCAGCTGGTTTAACAACAGTGTTAAATTCATGTCCAGATGGCTTGGTGAAATGCAGACACACAACTGTGGGTGTGTGCAGATACACAACTGTTTCATATTT